GCAGTGTGAAAGGGCCCCAGGAAAACTACAGCTCCCCTATCCAGCAAGCCTCAAAAGTAACTTTCCCAAGCATTGGTATTTTGTGTGTGTTGTGGTCCAAAGAGTTATTTGTTGGGTTGTGTGTGCACTTGGGTGGTGTGTGTGTGTGTGTGGGGGGGGGGGGGGGTCAGAGAAAATAGGGACAAATCAAGACTTCAAATGAATGGAGATTCAGTCAATCATAAACATCTTTTCCATTTAATCACAACTGTATATGTTTTCCGGTGTCTATAAAATATGGTTTCAGAGGTTATGCAACGCAAATGAAAAGAATTATTGATTAAAGCATGCAGATAAATGTAGCCTAAGTAGAAAGATTAATTAGGGTGCACCAAAGTGTAGATGATGGCAATGGGCTTGCCTGCAATAAATCAACTCACATACCTAAATCATGTCTATTTATATGATGAAAAGGTAACACTAAAGATATCAGGTCTGTGGGGACTGCTACTGTTTCTGTTGTTTTTGTGAGAGCTGGATTATCTAAAGTTGTAGAAAAGATGGAAACAAAGGAAAAATACAAACACAAAATATTCTGATTACAACATCAAGGCATGAATAAAATCTGGTATTTTTTTGGGTGGGGGGAGAGGGTGCATGTGGCACTCACATACACTTCTCTAATTCCTGCGACAAACGAGCATGGCTGAAGTCCATCTGTCTGCTGTGCCTTTTATATATTCTTGATAAACCCATGAGTTTGTAAATAATCAGATCACTTTGCAAAGACTTCATCCATCTCCAGCGCTTGGCCTTTCAAATAAAAGGGCCAAGCAAAAGCTATCTTCAGCAAAACCCCTTGAGGAGGAAGTGAAGGGGGAGAAGATGAACTTTATTCCTCCAAATAGAGGCAGCTTACAAATTAACTCAAGGATAATATAGCGAAAAAGACACACAAGAACAACATTAGTACAATGTATTGTCGAAGGCTTTCATGGCCGGAATCACTGGGTTGTTGTGAGTTTTCCGGGCTGTATGGACATGTTCCAGTAGCATTCTCTCCTGATGTTTCGCCTGCATCTATGGCAGGCATCCTCAGAGGTTGTGATCCACTGTGGGGTTGGCGCACCTCCAGGGACGGATCCCAGGGCTTTTTGGGGTTTTCAGGTGGGAAAGTAAGCTACTTTGCAGCTCCGGTGTGGTCGGGAATCAATGTCTCAGGGTGCAGCCACACACTATGATCACAATAATCATAATCATAATTATAATAATACATTTTGAGTTGCAGTGACTTTTCCAGGCTGTCTGGCCATTTTCCAGAAGCATTCTCTCTTGACATTTTGCCTGCACCTATGGCAGGCATCCTCAGAGGTTGTGACTTCACAACCTCTGAGGATGCCTGCCATAGATGCAGGTGAAATGTCAGGAGAGAATGCTTCTGGAACATGGCCATACAGTCCCGAAAACTCACAACAACTCAACATTAGTATAAGCTATTCCCAAGCTAGGAACATTTGACTTACAAATGACTCCTAGTTAGGAATGGGGATGAGACAACATGAAATGAGAGAAATCTACCCCTAGGAAGGGAAATTCAGTCCTTGTTGTTATCATGGGGAAAAGGTGCCTCCACGGACACTTTATCTCTAACCTTTGTTTCCACAACAAGCCAAAATTTTCAAAATCCAATGATCAGAGAGCCAGAAATCTTCTGAACAGAGGCACAGACAGCAAAACAAATACTAGAGGGTGTTAATCCTTCCCTGTGCTATCTAAAGGTAATATATGTGGCGGAATGAAAATCACGTGTAGTTCACATCTTTACCAGTCCACACACTGTCTTGCTAGAGAAAAGATATGCTGATGATCAGTAAAGAATAAGGTGTTTACTCTTTGTTATGCAGAGCAACATATATATAGTCATGTGAACAGTTACATTGACTCACACAATGTCCTTTGAGAAAGATTCAAATGGTCTTTAGGTGTCCATATGAAGGATCATCTTCTAGCAGCCCAGAAGCAGAAAATACTAACTGCCTTGGTAAGCTCTTGCACAGAAAACCTTAAAATGTAACTGTTGCCAAAACTCCCAGACTCAGCTAATTTCTTGGGTGTAGCCCAACCAATTAACTTCGTGCTTTGCATTTCTCAGTTAACACACTCACTAACTGATTTTACATGCTCCAGCAATACATATGGAACTACACTTTAAAATGTATCTGTTCTGACTTACATACAAATTCAACTTAAGAGCATAAGACATTCAAATTCAACTTAAGAGCATAAGGACTGTCTTTATTCAACTATTCAGAATATTAAAACAATGAAGAATGTGCAATTAAAAGAACAATAAAGTAATATGGAATAGTTCCATTAGATCAATACAACACCTTAAAAACTTTGAAAAAGACATATTACACTGGGAAACACAGGATGCCAAGTTGGAGAAAACTGCCTTAGGCATTTGCAGCAGAAAAGGTCAACACAACACCGATATACCTATTAGCAAAGGATGTGGAACCACTCAGAGTTTCATGTTGGCTTTGGGTTTTTGGCTTGAGCGAGCACAAGGAGCTCATTCATGAGACATGTTGTGGCCTAGCTCTCATTAACAGCCAATGCGTTGTACAGATTGGGGATTCGAAGGGCAGCCAAGGATGGGAAAATCCCAGTTCAAATTACTGCTCAGCCTTGAAGCTCAATGTGTGACCATGGGAGAGCTGCTGTCTTTGAAATAGCCTTTCAAGATTATTGTGAAGGCAAAAGGGGACTGAAACTGTGTATGGTAAGAAATAAACACACATATGAGAGAATCCCCATATCCAAGTATTCAACCTTCCACGTCTAGTAAATATTCACACACACATACACTTCAATTTTGCTATTTTATAGAAGGGAACCCAATTTTACTATTCCAGCATTTCTCAACCTGGGGGTAGGGACGCCTGGGTGAGTGGGGAGGGGATGTCAGAGGGGTTGATAAAGACCATCAGAAAACATGGTATTTTCTGTTGTTCATGGGGGTTCTGTGTGGGAAGTTTGGCCCAATTCTATCATTGGTGGGATTCAGGATGCTCTTTGGTTGTAGGTGAACTATAAATCCCAGCAACTACAACTCTTAAATGTCAAGGTCTATTTTCCCCAAACTCCACCAGTGTTCATATTTGGGCATATTGAGTATCTGTGCCTAGTTTGGTCCAGATCCATGATTGTTTGAGTCTACAGTGCTCTCTGGATATAGGTGAACTACAACTCCCAAACTCAAGGTCAATGCCCACCAAACCCTTCCAGTATTTTCTGTTGGTCATGGGAGTTCTGTGTGCCAAGTTTGGTTCAATTCCATCATTGGTGGAGTTCAAAATGCTCTTTGATTGTAGGTGAACTATAAATCCCAGCAACTACAACTCCCAAATGACAAAATCAATCCCCACCCCCACCCCATCACTATCCAAATTTGGGCGCATCAGGTATGTGTGCCAAATTTGGTCCAGTGAATTAAAATACACCCTGCAATCAGATATTTTACCTTACGATTCATAACAGTAGTAAAATTACAGTTATGAAGTAGCAACGTAAATAATGTTATGGTTAGGGGTCATCACAACATGAGGAACTGTATTAAGAGGTTGTGGCATTAGGGAGGTTGAGAACCACTGAACTATGTCATTGCATATAATGACTTGAGTATACATAAATTTTGGCATACTGGAACCCTATCCCAGTGGATAAGATTTCCAACTCCAACAAGTTCCTCTAAAGCAGCTTACAAAGAAAGAATAACACTGAATAAAACATAAAAATCAACACTAGATTAAAACTATATATTAAAAGCATTAGAATTAAAACCTATTTTAAGGATCATCCCAAGCAGAAAAATAATATTTTCATGGTTCACTTCACATGCAATGAAGGGTGAAGCTAGTCTTCGCCTCAGTGGGATGGAATTCCACAACTGCCACAGAAAAGGCCCGTCCTTCTTTTCCTGTCAATCAACCCTCTTTGGGTGAAGGGACATAAAAGGAGGGGGTTGGAGAGACAGTGGTTTCCAAATAGTCAAAAGGCTGCCACATAGAGGAGTTAATGGACTTATTCTTTGGTACCACCGTGAGTTCAGTTCTTTGAGCCAGGATGCAGCCAGGCTTTGAAGCTGCAAGGCTATTCAATGCTAATCAAGGTGATTAATTGCAACATTCACACTTGCCTCAAAGAGACAAGAGTTGTTTCCGCCCCCCCCCCCCGGACATTATTCCACAGATATATGAATCCCACTTGCCTAGTTTCCAACAGACCTGACATCCTCTGAGGATGCCTGCCATAGATGTGGGCGAAACGTCAGGAGAGAATCCTTCTGGAACATGGCCACGCAGCCCGGAAAACTCATATACTTTTTTTCCCACCCTGGACATTATTCCACATGCATATAAACCCCACTTGCCTAGTTTCCAACAGACCTGACAACCTCTGAGGATGTCTGTCATAGATGTGGGCGAAACGTCGGGAGAGAATGCTTCTGGAACATGGCCACGCAGCCCGGAAAAGTCATACATATACTTTTCTCCCACCCTGGACATTATTCCACATGCATATGAATCCCACTTTCCTAGTTCCCAACAGACCTCACAACCTCAGAAGATGTCTGCCACAGATGTGGGCGAAACGTCAGGAGAGAATGCTTCTGGGAAATGGCCAGACAGCCCGGAAAAGTCACAGCAACCCAAAATGTATGATTATGATTATGATTATGATATTATGATCATAGTGTGGTTGATTCCCGTCCACACGGGAGCTGCCAAGTAGATTTTGCTTTCCCACCTGAAACCCCCAACAAGCCCTGGGATCTGTCCCTGGAGGAGCGCCGACCGCGCAGTGGATCCGCCTGACTCCCGTGGGTCTGCTCCAGAGTGCAAGGCGAGGTTGGGGGCGAGGTTTCAAGGGGGCGGCGCCTGTTTGTGGGGGCGGAGCTCGGCCCCTCCTTCGTCACTGGGAGCGAGTCTCTGGAGAGAACAAGGGGCTCATTCAGAGGGAGGGAGAGAGGGAGGCAGCGGTGAGCCCGGGGCCTCTTCTTCTTTTCCTTCTCCTCCGCGGGACTCCGGCCCTTCCAGGGACCCTTAAGCATGCTGCCTCGGCCGCCGCCCGCCTTGTACCTGTCCCTCCTGCCGGGGCTGGCGCTCGCCTTCAACCTGGACGTCGGCAACGTGGTCTTGTGGAGCGGCGAGCCCGGAAGCCTCTTCGGCTTCTCCCTGGCCATGCACCGGCAGCTGGAGCCGCAGGAGAGGAGGCTGTGAGTAGGAGCACCAGAGTGGACACATAGATAGAGAGGTCTCTGCCTTTGCATACCTCTACAGGCTGCTTGGCTGGACTTCACTCCTGCCCAACTCAGACCTGGGTGCCCAGTTTGGCGTGGATGGCGGTGGCCATTGGGAGCTCCCAGGGCCCTTCCACACAACCCTGTATATCAAGGCAGGAAACCCCACATTAGTGTGGACTCAGATAACCCAGTTCAAAGCAGATCTTGTGGGATTTTCTGCCTTGATATCCTGGGATATAGGGCTGTGTGGAAGGGTCAGTTCAAAGCAGATATTGGGGGATTTTCTGCCTTGATATTCTGGGTTATATGGCTGTGTGGAAGGGCCCTCAGATAACCCAGTTCCAGGCTGATCTTGTGGGATTATCTGCCTTGATATCCTGGGATATATGGCTGTGTGGAAGGACCCTCAGATAATCCCGTTCCAAGCAGATCTGGTGGGATTTTCTGCCTTGATATCCTAGGATATAGGGCTGTGTGGAAAGGCATCGAGTCTCACCTGATCCTTTTCAGGCTGGACCCACTCTATGCACGAGTTTTTTTCCTATGCTTGCAACCAGTCTCACCAAGGCGTTGCAATTTGGGAGCTTTTCTGGACTTCTAAAAGCAGATCAGGCTGGCATTTTTGAAGGGATTGTCTTGTTCTTTCCCTGCAGGGAAAAGGGTTGGACTGGATGGCTTTTGGGGGCTCTCTGTGAGTGTAGGATTGGAAACTTGGGCTCCAAACTCTTTTGGCTTTTGAGTCGCGCCTTTTCCATCTCTGGGAAGGGAGGTGTGGAAGGAGGAATGGGGAGAGGCTGGACCCACTTCCGCCGGAGTGGGGCCTTGATCCCTACCTTCCAACGCCGGTGGCACACTGGGTTAAACCCTTGTGCCGGCAGGACTGAAGATCGACAGGACGCAGGTTCCAATCCGGGGAGAGCGCGGATGAGCTCCCTCTGTCAGCTCCAGCTCCCCACGCGGGGACATGAGAGAAGCCTCCCATAAGGATAGTAAAACATCAAAACATCCGGGCGTCCCCTGGGCAACGTCCTTGCAGACCACCAATTGTCTCACAACAGAAGCGACTTGCAGTTTCTCAAGTCGCTTCTGAAACGGAAAAAAACAAAACCCTGGAAGTCGCGCTTAAGTGTTTGGCTGCGTCTGTTTTATTTGAACTGAAACCTCGGAGAAGCCACCTGTTTGCAAGCGCATGCTCAGATCTGAGGAGAAAAAAAAAACAACAACAGATGAGGAATGGAGGCAAAATCATGGGACTGATCAAGCATTGAGAGCTATGACCCTATCTAGGCTTTCCATTTAGAGCAGTTTCAACCCGGTATTCGAGGCTCGGTTGGTAATTCCACAGAGCTCTTTTCCCTCCTTTCCCGCGCTTTGTGAGGAATGTGTTGTCTGGTTACTAACTAACGTCGAGCAAAAGGTTTTGCAACATCTACAACAGGTAGGGGCAAACTTCGGCCCTCCTGGTGTTTTGGACTTCAACTCCCACAATAAGGAATTGTGGGAGTTGAAGTCCAAAACACCAGGAGGGCCGAAGTTTGCCCCTACCTGGTGTAGATGTTGCAAAAACGTTTGTTTTCCGGAAGTGCTACCTGATTTCACACAGCGCCATATTAAAAGAAACAAGATTCCGAAGCAGATTCAAAACACAACAAAACAGCCCAGCCCAATAGGCTTGGCATCCTTAACCAAGAATGTGAAGGCTTCAGGGTGTGTATGTGTGTTGGGTGTGCGTTGTGTGGGCAGAGCAACACAAGCAGCCTCCCCTGAAGGGAAGGCGAGCCTCGCAGGTCAGCTCAGCAACCCAGCGCCAAAGGGCGGGCCCAAAACAAGCCAATGAGGTGGTTGTCCTGGGAGGAAAAGCAACTTGAAAAGACAGGATGCCAAGGTGGAAGGGCTGTGGTGGAATGTGCGTGTCAGGAGCAACTTGAGAAACTGCAAGTCACTTTTTGGCGTGAGAGAATTGGCAGTCTGCAAGGATGTTGCCCAGGGCTGCCCGGATATTTTGATGTGTTACCATCCTTGTGGGAGGATTCTCTCATGAGCTGGAGCTGACAGAGGGAGCTCAACACACTCTCCCCAGATTGGAACCTCCGTTCTGTTGGTCAGCAGTCCTGCAGGCACAAGGATCTAACCCACTGTGCCACCACTGAGAGCAGAAGATGAAACACAGTGGGAAGAGAAGGAAGAAGCCTTTCCTACTCTGTGGTGTCTTCAGATACGGTTCTGTTGAGCGACCAGGAGACTCTTGACTTCAGTTTCTTTTCATCATGATGCTGGTTTATGCACTTTATTCCAGGTTGGGAGTTTTAAATGTGTTGTAGCGTAAATTATCCTGAGAAATCTGTATAACAACCAAGTAGCAATAGTACGAACAGACCAAAGAACAACAGACTGGTTCAAGATTGGGAAAGGAGTACAGCAGGGCTGCATACACCCACCCTACCTATTCAACTTGTATGCAGAACACAGTGGCAGGCAGTATACTCTCACCCAAACTATTCAACTTGTATGCAGAACACATCATGCAATGTGCGGGTCTTGAAGAATCCATAGCTGGAGTTAAAAATGCTGGAAAAAACATTAACAACCTGAGATATGCAGATGATATCACTTCGATGGCTTTTTTTTTTGTCGTGTCAGGAGCGACTTGAGAAACTGCAAGTTGCTTCTGGTGTGAGAGAATTGGCCGTCTGCAAGGACATTGCCCAAGAGACGCCTGGTTGATTTGATGTTTTTATCATCCTTATGGGAGGCTTCTCTCATGTCCCTGCATGAGGAGCTGGAGCTGATAGAAGGAGCTCATCCGCCTCTCCCCGGATTCGAACCTGCGAGCTGTCGGTCTTCAGTCCTGCTGGCTCAGGGGTTTAACCTACTGCGCCACCGTGGGCTCCTTACTTTGATGGCTGAAAGCGAGGAGGAGCTGAGGAGCCTTCTAATCAAGGTGAAAGAAGAAAGTGCAAAAGCTGGGTTGCAGAAACATAAAAAATCAAGATTATGGCAACTACACTGATTGACAATTGGCAAATAGAGGGAGAAAACGTGGAGGCAGTGAGAAACTTTGTATATATCTAGGCGCAAAGATTACTGCAGACGCAGACTGCAGCCTGGAAATCAGAAGAAATTTCCTTCTTGGGAGGAGAGCAATGACCAATCTTGATAAAATAGTGAAGAGTAGAGATATCATACTGGCAACAAAGATCTGCATAGTTAAAGCAGTGGTATTCCCCATAGTAATTATGGATACGAGAGCTGGATCATAAGGAAGGCTGAGCAAAGGAAGATAGATGGTTTTGAACTGTGATGTTGGAGGAAAATTCAGAGAGTACCTTGGATCGGAAGAAGATCCAACTGATCCATACTCCAGGAAATAAAGCCCGAACGCTCATTGGAGGGAAGGATATTAGAGGCCAAGATGAAGTACTTTGGCCACATCATGAGAAGACAGGAAAGCTTGGAGAAGATAATGGGGCTGGGGAAAATGGAAGGAAAAAAGAAGAGGGGCCGACCAAGGGCAAGATAGATGGATGGTATCCTTGAAGTGACTGGCTTGACCTTGAAGGAGCTGGGATGGCCATGGCCAACCCACAGCAGGAAGCTCTGGCGTGGGCTGGTCCATGAGGTCACATAGAGTCACTCTTCATGACCAACAAAGCGTAAATTATGTTGCAGGAGACTCTCATTACAATCCTGTTAGGAAAGTTGTCAAATGAAACACCAGGCATGGGCAAGCTTCGGCTCTCCAAGTGTTTTGGACTTCAGTTCCCATAATTTCTAACAGCCGGTAAAGTGGTTGGGATTTCTAGTCCAAAACACCTGGAAGGCCAATATTTGCCCATGCCTTGTCTCCATAGCAGAATTAATGCAGCTTGATGAATTGCCATCTGTGTGATTCAAACCACATTCCAACCCATGCAACCTTAGACATAAGCATGCTGTGGTAGCCTTTCCTAGCTTTCATGTCTTCTTCCTCATTAACATGTAATGGCTGTTGACGTGCCATCCAATTGTGTTCGTTCTACAGGGTAGAAATTGGGACAGTTGGTAGGGATGACTCTGAGGCTGTAGTGTTAGGATTAGGTTTGATCTTCACTGTAGGATCAATGAAGTTTGCCATTAGTTTTAACTGCTCCGGCCCAATGCTATGGAATTCTGGGACTTGTAGTTTGGTGGGGGCACTAACACTCTTTGGCAGGGAATGCTGAAGATCTTGCAAAACTACAACTCTCATGATTTCATAGCATTGAGCCATGGCAGTTTAAAGGGGTGCCACATTGTATTATGTTTATAGTGTAGATACACTGATAGGTGGCTGGATGGAACCATGTCAACAAAATAGTTCTAGCCAGTGTTCCTCTTGGGCTGAAGCAAATATTGTGTAAAAGTAATGGGCCTTGGGATGTTATGTAGTTTCTGGCCTGTATGGACGTGTTCTATCACTTCATCTACTTCCCCGACCCTATGATACACTGTTTGCACTCTCGCTTGCCCAGCCCTTTAATAGTTGCCCACTTCATTTTGTAATCCTGGCCTTTGGTTTGTTGAACCTCTACTGATACAGCTACAATGAAATGTGTTTTTTATTATTTTGTTTTGTAGAGTGTTTAACAGGCATTTGGTATTTTGTGATGCTTTTAGTGATTTTTGTTTGTGAAGTTAAATTAGGTTGTATTTTATTCTCAAATGTGTTTATTTGTCTGTATGGTTTTCTTTTTGGCAGTTGAATGTTTGTCTTATATGTTGGAAACACCCTGAGTCCCTTCGGTGAGATGGGGCGGTATACAAATAAAGTTTTATTATTACTATTATTTTATTATTTTCTCCTGACGTTTTGCTTGCATCTGTGGCTTGCCTCTTCAGAGGACCTTGATATCTTCAATGGGTCTTGGTTGGATCCAATAGAGATGCTTCATAATAGTGCACTTGATGAGAATATCCATTTCCCCTCCAGCTGTTGTGATGGTTGCAGGTAAACC